CCAGAGCAAATTTATGAGGAGCAGCCTCAAGGTTTTTCTGTAAAGGGGCATGAAGATAAAGTGTATCCATTAAAGAAAGCCCTTTATGGCTTAAAACAAGCTCAAGGGCTTGGTAAAGTCAAACTGATGAGCATTTGCAAGCCTTGGGTTTTTTAAATAACTATGGTGTTCGTGCTAGCTTTTACACATCTCGATAAATTCCACGGAATACCTATCATCTCCAATCAACAACAAATACCAAGTAATTTTATCTAACAAGGCTAGAATAGATGGGGAAAAATCAACAAGCATTTTTTATGATTCAACTCATGGTTCTCAACCCACTTAACTGACCACTAGGACACACCATAGGGTTCTTGCAAGGCTTAGGACTTAAGAAAAGCATAAGTGAATCAACTCTATTTATCAACAAAAAGAAATTCTAATATAGTGATTATACCACTTTATGTTAATAATTTTCTTGTAATTGGAAACAACCTTGAAATGATAGACAAATTCAAGGTAGTGATGAAGAAAATGTTCGAAATGACAAACTTGGGAGAAATATCTTACTTTCTTGGAATGCAGATTCATCAAACTCAAACTAAAGCATTCATTTGCCAAAAAAGTATGCAAGGGGGATAATAAAGTAGATTAATGGAAGATTGCAAACCTATGAAAACTCCAATGAATCAGAAAGAGAGGTTTATTAAAGATGATGGTAGTGACAAGGTTGATGGAAGAGTATAGATAGGAGAAGAAGGCACAAGGCTTGAAATGTTACTCCTCTTGCTTTGATGTGGTCATGTGGGTCATTTGGAAATAGAGTAATAGGGGAGCTTTTGAAGGGGTTGAAATGAATTTTTGCTCGATTGAGGAGTAGTCTCCGATCCCTTATTTTCTTTCTAAGCACCCACGTAGTTCCTATGTCTATAGAGGGTTGGGTGTCGTTTGAGAGAACCATATTTTGTAGGTTTATCCTCCTTTTGGTAAATCACTTGTATACGACCAAGTTGACAGTGCTACTATCAATGAAACCTTTTACTTGATCAAAAAAAAAAAAAAAAGTTGATGAAGCAAGTTATAAAAGTATGACTGGGTGTGCATTATCTCACTACCACGAGACCTGACATTTTGCAAGCAATAAGAGCCCGTTTGAGCCCGTTTGGATTGGCTGGAAAAAAAAGCTTTTAAAAAGCAACTTTTTAAAGTCAAAATTAAATGTCTTTTAAGTTAAAAAATAAAAAGTAAGGAGAGTCCTACTTTTGGTTTTTAACTTATTTTAAATTATTTTTAACTTTGTCAAACACTCCCAAAAGCTAAAAATGACTTGAAAGTAGGTTTGACCAACTTTTAAGCCAAATCAAGCAGGCTCTAAGTGTCTTGTCCAGATTCTTAATTGTGCAAGTGAAATGCACATGAAAGCAGCCAAAAGAGTGATAAGTTATGTCAAGGGAACTGTGGACTAAGGTGCTATGTTTTGTAAAATTCTGAAGTTCAAGGTTATTTTGATAGTGAATAGTTGGGTTAGTTGATGACATGAAAAGTACTTCAGGTAATTATTTTAGCATTGGTTCGGGATGTTTTTCATGATGCTCAAAGAAGCAAGGCATCGTGGTACATACAGTCAACTGCAGAAGTTGAATTTATAGCTGCAATAGCAGCAGTTAATCAAGATCTTTGGCTAAGGAAGATCCTATAAGATCTTGATCTAGAGCAACAAGGAAGAACATACACATTTGTGGATGATAGGCAGCCATATCGATTTCTCATAATATAGCTTTTCATTTTAGTTTTCCTGGGAAAACAAAACATTCTAATATCATATTGTACTTTCTGAGGGAAGTGCAAGGAGGAGAGGTCAAATTGGTTTATTGCAAGTCAGAAGATCACATTGCAGATGTATTTACTAAGCCTTGGATTTCTGATAATGAGGATTGGACTATGCAGTTGTTGAGCCAGTAGGAGTGTTGCAGTTGTCTGTAGAACTGCAGCTTGTTTTCAGAAAATGCTTAGCTGGTGCCTAGGTGTCTACAAGACCAAAATTTATAATTAATCTAGAAGAGAGAGAGAACATACGGAAGAAAAGTAAATTGCTACTCCCTCTGTCCCATTTTATATGACTCACTTTCCTTTTTAGTCAGTCCCAAAAAGAATGACACATTTCCATATTAAGTAACAATTTAACTATGAAATGCCTATTTTACCCTTAATGAAATGATTTACAGCCACACAAATTTCTATCATTCATTTTGGACCACAAGTTTTAAAAGTCTTCCTTTCTTTCTTAAACTCCGTGCCGAGTCAAACTACCTCATATAAAATGGGACAGAGGGAGTATTTTTTTTTAGCTGTTTCTCTTTTTCCTAATTTATTTAAAATTATGTTAGTTATTTTAGTTCCTTATTTTCAGTAAGCAGTAAATCAGTTTAGCAATACTCATCAAATCAGAATTGGATTTGGATGGAAACACTCACCCTTCCATAAGCATTAATATCGAGTCCATTATCAAGCAATTTGGCAAGATCTTCCTTCAAAAACCTCTGTTTCGACTCAGCTCTCCGTCTCACCACCTCGATTCGCGTCCTTGTAGCCTTTACTAGCGATTTGCTTCATTCATCCCAAAACCAAAGTGAAAAATCACAAATCTCAAAAAATAAAAGAAAAAAAGCCATACATACCATTTGGAGCTGAAACCACGGGTTAGTATACCGTCAAGCATCTCCGATCTCACTTTTGAGCTTCAAGTATCTATTTGTGAAAACAGATCCGGACGCAGAGATTTTGGATTTGGGAGTTGTAGGGATTTTTTTTAACTCAAAATAATACACTTCAACCTCTCCTCTTCTCAACCTTTTGCTTTCTTCCCCCTTTCACTTCGAATTAGATGGACACAAATAGCTTACCAACGACTATCCAGCTTTGAACAACCCATATTATTATATCATTCAACTTTTGGCTTTGCACAAAAACACATTTAATTTAAAAGACTTAACCCATCGTGGCCCCCTAAAATTGACACCAACTTTCACTTAGACATTTTAACTAGACTTTATCATTTTAGACATCTTATGTCACTCTCTATTATGTCATTTTGACACGTTTTGCTTATTTAGCCTATTTTACTTATTTTTTTCTCTTCTTCTTTCTCATTTTCAGCTAGTACATCTTCTTACATTTTCTCTCTCAAAAACTTCCAGAAAATCCATCCAAGACTTCTTTCAAACCTTCTATTATCTGTGTTGGAAAAACATAATGTCAATATTATTGAACACAATACATACTTGACCTCACCGGTTGATGGCAAGATAAACTTTGCATATAAAAGACTTGAAACAGTACTGATTGTTCAGCAAAACAACTTTAAGAATGTAACCCATTTTCCTTAAAAGAATGGAGAATAAAATTAAGTATAAAAAAAAATCTACAATCTGATTTTAACATATTCACATCGCCATTATAACTTCTAAAATTTCATATTTACAATTCTAAACACTAAATTAAATAAAGAAATAGGAAGACAATGAAATCAAGTGGGTATTACGAAAAAGACCATGAAAATGGGGGAATATGGCGGAGAAGTATATAGGGTGGGTAGGGGTGTTCACGGTTTGGATAAAAACCGATTCAAACCGAAAAACCAAACCAAACCGATAAAATAAAACCGATTTTATTTGGGTTTGATTTGGTTTGGTTTTAGATTTTTGAAACCCGATAGTATTTGGTTTAGTTATGGTTTTATTCGAAAAAACCGAAGAAATAACCGAACCGAACCGATGAATTATATACATATATTTT